CCTCTTGACACTCCCCCTTCAGATACTTGTACACGTTGATGAGATCCCCTCTCAATCTTCTCTTCTCCAGGCTGAACAGGCCCAGCTCTTGCAGTCTTAAATGCAAAGAGAGGCTGAAAAGCTGTGGTATACCTGGGCCGTGGTGGAGTGTGTTGGGATGGCCAGGGTCAATGGATGATGGAGATGAATTTGGGCAGGCTAAAAGATAGATGAGCTGCCATAAGGACATAGAGGATTATGGGATAATTCTTCAAAGTAATGCACCCTGATGATATGCAGTATGAACATGATGTTTCTGCTGTAAAATGCCCACAGACTCTGAAAAGATGAATGAAATCTGGGCTGCACCACTTGATGTTCTGTCCTTTCTGACTTTTCAACAAAAACCAGGAGTGATCCTCCATATGCTTTCCACCTGCCAAGAGGGGGAAATAATCCTAGCGCTACAGAAAGGCAGGTTAGAGGGAACCTATTCCACTTTCCAAGCTCTACTCCATTCCTTTGCCACAGAAGAGGGTCCTGACATTGTGATTTCTGACAGATGTTTGTCTGACCAGTTCTTAAAGACTTCCAGAGACAGTGACTCCACATCCACCCCAACCACCTTACTATGAAGGTTTTTATTGATACTTCACCTAATTCTCCCTTCTGTGAGTCCCCGATTTCTTGTCTTACCGTCTATGAATACAGAGAACAGATTATTCCCTTCCTCTTGGCAGCTCTCTTTTACCTATCTGAAGACTATTATTATCTTGCCTCAGCTTTCACTCTCACAGTTCTTTCAATCTTTTCTCAGAGGTTCACAGTTTCTGTCTCATGTGAAGATTCTCATTTCTCATGGAAGACTGAAAAAATGGGTTTTTTTATTGTCTCATTCTTAGGCACTTGATCCCATACAGAGAGCCTGGGTGCGCATGGATTAGACACAGCAATGTACAGCTATATTTGCTGACTTATCTCTAATTCATTTTTCTATGGTTATGGAAGAAACTTACACCAGAACCAAAGAAGGAACCTGTGCTTCTTCAGGCTCCATTCCAAGGTCCCTGTCACTCCACATGGACACTAAACATATCTCCTGTTTCAGTTTGTGCATGCAAAACACTTAAATAACAGAAATATAAGATCAAGGTAATTTTCAATAATTTTCATGCTATTTATTTTGTAATATTTCTGCACTGGCTATGCTATTCATGATAAAATGTGTAAAAATAATTTCAAATAAATAGTCTTCTTTCTGGAGTTCACCAAAAGTGTAGCAGTAAATGCAAAATGCATGATTATGAAGTGTCCACCAAATATATATTTGTTATGTCTTTGTGCCCTGCTGCTTATAGTAAGGCTGTGTCACACAATTTCTGAAAAAGTTACTGGTTTTATCAATTCCAAACAGATAGGATACATGCCATAGAAAATGTAGGCATCAGATCCTGTTCTCCAGAAATGTTCTCTGCCTACATAAATTGCTAATGATATACACCAGAAATACTGAAGTCCTGCAAATATGCACACATCCTCCTTCCATCAGATTACAAAGGCATGGCAAAATTGGGCAATATCTCATCATACAAACTGAGCTTTCTAGTTCATACTCTTTCACTTGTTACAAAGCTTACTGCATGTTTTGATCTTACATACACAAAGGATCACTGCAGAGACCATAGACAAGTTCTACTATGGGATACAGAATTCCAGACAGAAAGTATCAAATCGGCAAGAAGTTCTCAGTTACATGCACCACACAGGCTAGCAGCAGAGATGGCAGTTACCACTGCTTACTTTGGGAAAAAAGGTACAGAAAGTCTCCGAGTAGGGCGTAGGCTGTGAGATTGTACAGAAGTCAATAACAATAGGAGAGGATTAAGACGAGCACTTTTTGAAATGTATTAGTTTTTGGAAAGCCTGTTTAAATTCTTCATTAAAAGCGGTGTAAATGACTGGATTGATCAATGAGTTTAAGTAACCTAACCATGTAAAAAAGTCCAGTAGGATAGGATGAAACCAACAGGCATCCTGACAGATCGGCAGGACTAGGGACATGACAAAAAATGGCAGCCAGCAGAAAATGAAAGCTCCCAGAATAATGCCTAGAGTTTTGGTGGCTTTCCTTTCTCTTGCAGCAGAAATTCTTTTCCTTTCCAGGACACTATCTGCAAGTTTTATTTTAACATGATTGATAAATATTGGGGATCCACCTGAATGGGAATGCCCTTCATGCAGGCTAGAGTTAATGGAGCAGAGAGAAGACCCAGTAGAGCCAGTAATCAAGTGTGCAGTAGTAAATCGTTTCCCATATAACGAAGGTGGCTTCAGAATCCTGGATCGAGCTGCTACATAAATTCTGCCATACAATATTACAAGGAGTACAGTTGGGATGTAGAAAGCTCCACAGGTGGAGTAAATTGTGTAGTGAATCTGATCTGTGTTCACAGTACACTTTGCAATTTCTTCATGAGCTTTCCCTTGCCTCCAGAAAAGTGGCGGCACAGAAATACTAATAGAGATCATCCAGACCACAGCAATCATGAGTGCTGCTCGGCCAGCAGTCCGGCGTTTGGCGTATTCCAAAGCATCTGTGATAGCCCAGTATCTGTCCAGTGCAATAACACAGAGGTGTAAGATTGAGGCTGTGCAGCACGTGATGTCTGAAGATAACCAGATATCACACAACACTTGGCCAAAGGCCCATGTGTGGGTGACAGTGTAAGCAATACTGATGGGCATCACTAGGACAGACACTAAAAGATCAGTCACTGCCAGGGAACCAATGAGGTAATTTGCAGGTGTGTGGAGCTTTCTAGTCAGAAAAATTGTAATAATGACAAAAACGTTTGCAAGGATCGTTGCCAAAGTTATAACAGATAGAAGGGCTGACAGTGAAATCTTCAGCCCTAATAGTGTATTTTCATCCAAAGTCAGTGGTGTTTCAGTAAAATTTAATGACTTATTTGCTGAGCTCTGGAGAGAGAGCTCTGCTGAATGGTTATACTGAGTCATTCTCTGCTCTGATTTCACTTTCCAATGTAATCTTCCCTCCACAGTGAAGAAGGATGTTCACATTTTGCTGAAGCAGAACTTTTCGTACTTGAGTCCAACACTAAAGAAATACTAACTCCTTGAAAACAGGAGCTTGAACAGTAGATGAGGTATTCTCCAAAGCTAGTTTTTCCATCACATCTTATTTGATGCCATTGTTAAAAAGCAAAACATTAACGTAAACATCCAAACATGATCCTGGCATATGACAACACAGAAGGTAGTGTAAGTGGTGGGAATGTAGGTATTTTTCATTTTTATCTTACAACTTCTAATGTACCCGAAGACAAGATCATTCTTTGTTAACTTCTCCTCACACCTCCTTTTTGTACTGATCTTCTGCAAAGTTGCATAAATCAGTACTGAAGAGTGAGAGGCTAAAACAGAAACATCTGGGCATGTAATCGATGCCCCAATGTTTGGGACAAAGCAATCCTCAAGACTATTTTCTCTTCCACTCTAGTAGCTGAAGGTCAAGTATTTGTTATTTGAGGGACTCTATTAGTAGAGTACCCAAGATATAATACAATACTGTCTGGATTCCTCCTGTAAACATAATTTATGCCAGATTTTAAGTCAAGGCATTCTTTGTGAACAGTGCAGTGCTCTGTTTTCACTTACTCATCCAGACCATTCTGGCTTTCTCTTCAACACACATTCAGTCTTCAAATGCTGGAATCAAGTTTTGGTTACCAGAATTCAATGCTCTGGCGCTGAAGATCACAGAATGTTCCAAGTACTGAGATGTTCTTGATTATGCAAACAGTGAATGATTGTAATGACTTGTGGAGTGGTGATTCCCTCAAAAGAGAAAGGATATGGCTGGTTATTGGTTAATGGGATCTGGAGAAAGAAAGTGAATGTGTTAGTCCAGAATGGTGAAACAAGTAATGTGGAAGTTGAGCTATCAGTTTTAGACCAGTGTTTCGCAGCAATACACAAACCACAATCTTTCCATACGTTTCTTTAGACTCACCTAGCATAACCTGAAATCCTTATAAACCCGAATAGAACATTCTAAGAGTACCTTGAGATTTTTAAGTCACACCTACACACAAGTAACAGAACGCCACTTACATAATGCAAACCCATTCTTTCATGAAAAAGACTCAGAATATGGGTCTTGAATGAGTTTGAAGCATGCTCTGAGGGCATAAGAAAGACACTGAATAAGAAAGACATTGAACTTCTCCAAGAACATAGCTCCCCAGGCAGGCCTCCTCCAACCATCACGGAGAAACACCTCTAACAATCGTTAACTGGTGCAGCTTCACTGCAACTGACAAAGAACTGAGATTTACCCCGTTAGGAATCTGTAGATCAAGAACATCATATTTTCTACTAAGAACCTACAAATGACCTAGTAGAGATGAAACACTAACACTTATGTGTCAAACAGCTGCAATCTTAACAGAAGATACTTAAAGCTTTTTTGTTTATTTGTTTGTTTTGCAAACATCCACCCTCTCTGAGTAAAAGTTATTTTAAGAGATGTGTTTTCTTTTGAGCTGTATTGTTTCAATAAGAGGGTCCAAAAAAAATCTCATATTTCACACTAGACTATTCCTCCCTTTGTTGTTGCTGCTGTTGTTGCTGTTGTTTGTTTCCAGGAAGGTTTTCAACTTCTCTTCCTCTGCCCGTTTTTGTTACTCTGAGTAAAATTCCCAACTTATAAGAATTTTTGAACATAAGAATGGCCACAGTGACCCAAGTCTATCACATTCTGTCATCTATCTCTGACAATGGCTAGTGCCAATGTTGAGGAAGAGTATAAATACAATATAAGCATGTAGTTGAAACTCCCCCTGAAAATGTCTCTGCATCTAGTTATTTATGATATCTTTGTATTTACTATCCCCTGAGGCACAAATTCTTCTATGAATTTATCCAATCCTGGTTTTTTTTTTTTGAATCCGTGTAACCTTTTAGGATTCACTGTATCCTGTGACAAGGAATTTGAAAGCTCAACTATGTACTGTGTGAACTGCATCCTTTTGTTTGTTTTAAAACTAGCTCCTCGTAGTTTTATCTGATATGTTGTTCTTCTTTTAAAGAGACAGGGAATAATCATCCCTATCCATTGTCTTCAGGCAACCCTTCATTTTATAGACCTCTACCATATCGTTACTCCTTGTCCATTCAGTTGTTTAGTATCTGGAAGTCAGTCCATACTTGAGATCATCCCTGTTGCCCTTTTCTGATCCTTTCCCAATTCTAATACATTTTTCTTCCAAGACTGGAGGACCAGAACCACAAACGGTGTGGAAAATGTGGGTACCTCATGGACTTACATTACAGCATTTTCTGTTCTGTTCTTTCCTAATGATCCTTGAGATTTACTTGACATTTTAATCACTACAAAGCACTGAACTGACATTTCACAGAATAGTCCCAATTAATATAATTCACAAAATGTGAGTGGTAATATCAACATTTTTTCTTATTTGCTCACTTTTTGCATCTATCTGTACTGAATTCCTTCCCTCATTTTTCTACCTAGTCACAAGGCTCTCGGCAAGTCACTTCCTGTCTTTACTACCCAAAGAGTTTTGTCTCATCAGTAGATATCATCACTTCACTATTCATATATTTTCCAGATCACTTAATATGTTGGAGTGTCTGAGCCTTCTTTACTTACCTTCTTTAAGAGTGCAAAATGCAAAGGGCCTTGTCAAAAGTAAATTACATCAGTTGGACTTCACCCAATTCATATACTCATCAGCTTTTCCTAATAACTTCAACAGACTTGTGAGGCATAACTTACCTTTACAAAAGCCATTTTGACTGTTCCCCAAAACATCATATTTATTATGTGTACAGTAATACTACTGTTTATTATAGTTTCTGCAAACTGGCCAAGTATAGACAGAAAGCTTATGAATAAGTAGTGCCCAGATCTCTTTGGAACTCTTTTTATAAACTGGCATAACTTTAGCTGTCCTGCAGCTGCCAAGCGCAAAGGGGGTTTTAAGCAGAAGTTGAACACTCCAGTTGATACCTTTTTTCTCTCAATCTTCAGTTCCATCAGAGCTCTTCATCAGAGTACCATCTGATAGTGAAGCTTTGTTACTGCTCATTTTGCCCAGAAATAAAGGTTCCAGTTACTTGCTTTTTACTCAATTAAGAAAAATTCCTAAACAGAGACAAATGATTTCCCTGTAGAAAAATAGAAAAAGAAAAGAATTAGTTTTCTTAAACTAGATGCGTTTAAGAAGAGTAACATTAAATCTAATATAGTCATTAAATTAAATTTAATAAAGTCAAATGGAAGATCACAGATTCAGTTGTATATTAAGGAAAAATAACACACACATTTACAAGATGTACGTTCTCAAAACACTTTGCGTCCAAAGGGATGAAGAGGCCATTCAACATATTCAGCTGAAAACAATCTCCTAGTAGGACACGTTGCCTAGACAAGGCTTCTATGATCCCCAGAGCACAAAAGAGGCATACTGAGTAGCAAGTGAGCATGTTATCATCTGTAGATAATATTTTGTTTTCATTATTTGCAATTTATGGTCTCTAAAATTGTAGGTACTCAACTACATTCCTAAAGTTACCTCTACAGTGCTGAAGGCATCAGCCCATGTAGGATCTCTGGCCCCCACAAGGCAAGGCACAGTAAGTTTTCATCCATGCTTCTCAAGACTGAACTCCTCTCAGAGGAGTTGGCTGCAATAGCACTGTTCTTGGCCCATCTCTTCCTGGGCTCCACCTGGTGCCCTTGGCCACGGGCTGTGACTACTTTTTCTGTTCAAAGTGCCTGAAATAGATTGAAGGTGATGTCACAGCCTATCAGAGTAAGATTTTCACAGCACATCACCTACAACCCCAGAATGCATATGTCAGGGCAAACTGTAGGGTTGCGTTGGATGCTTGCAGGCAAGGCTTGCTACAACAGCATTAGGAACAGTACAGAGCAGAGGAAAGCAGAACTATCTTATTTTATTTATCCACACTACTATCCCCAGCATGGCATGCAGGTTAGGCCTTGGAAGAAACTAGTTCATCCGTACTAAGGGAGGATAGAGAGGCAAACTAATAGCCATGCAGATGATGATGAACCAAGGTGCAGAGTGACCCTGGAGCAAAGCTATTTGACAGTGACGATACAGCCTCAGCAAGCAACGCAGTCATGAGAGCCTCCTCTATAGCCAGTGGGGCTCCCACTGAAGGCAGGGCCTCCTGAAATCTGAAGCATCCTCTGCAACTGCCCGTTTCTCTCCTTAGCTCTAGACATGGTCTGGATTGACTACCTTCCTAATTTATATACCTCCAAATGTACTTAATGTTGGATAGGGGAGGGCCCTTTGGTTCAGCTCCTGTGTCTACGCATTCAGTGGTTCCTGAGAAATTCCAGGAGGCTAAGAAAGTTGTAATAGTGCCTTGATATTATGGAGAGATTGGAGGGACTCAATCTTTTTGGTTTATCAAAGATAAGAACAGATATCTCCACCATAGGAAAAAATATTTAGTTAGAGAGAAAATTTAAGACAGTGCAGTATTTATTTAACTTAGCAGACAAAGAGAAAGCACAGTTCAAGGTCTGGAAGATGAAGCTAGGCACATATTCAGTGTGAAAAGAGAACATATTTTTAACAGTAGTTGATTAACACTGGAACTGCTTCCTTGTTCAGAGTCCATACTTAAAACCAAGTACTTTTGAAAAAAATGCTTTGATTCCAGCTTCAGTTACTAGGCTTTGTAATAAAAGTAACAGAGCAAGATAGAAGCAGTGGGTGAGGGTCTTCAGCTCCTCGATAAGTTGGAGATGACACTAAGTGGCCCAAACCATGACAGGGTAGACAGACTGTTGCAAACACAAGGTTAATGGCACCAAACGATAGTTGTGACACAGTGCCATCATGTGGACACTGAACACACATAACTGTGACTGTGTCAGACAGAACGAGAAAGATGCTCTGGATGTTCAAAGAAGATATTCAATTCAGCGTGTAAATGCAGTCATGACATATTTCTGTCCTTTCTGGAAAACAGATTGCCTTTCTGGAGAACAGGATGATTTTTGCAGATAGCAATTTTATGAGGCAGCTGACAGCAGCTTCTGACAATGCTCTGATGAAAAGACAATGCTTTGATGTAACCACAAAAATCTGTGTTTGATGGAAGTGAATAAGAAATACAATAAATATGTTGAAATGAAAATATTTCACCAGATAGAACAGAGGGGAAAAAAGGGAACAAGATCTAATAAGCTGAACAATGTTTCCTTTAATTTCATACAGTGTAACAATCAGTTTACATTGTAAAACAGCACATTCCCTTACATTGAAGACTGAGATTGCAAATAGAGTGTTTCCCCAAAGTGGTATTTTGGTAGTCCCCTCACTCACACTGCTTGTATTGTCAGAAAACAGCATTTAAGCTTACGCAGACAGAACATATCTCAGTCCCTAGTCTGCGTGGCAGTACTAGAAGTAATATAAGTACTATAAGGTGTCCATTCAGTTTACTGGGAGTGTCCTGGGCAAGTGTCAGAGGCTTTATTTTGAATTGCTAGAAATAATTCTCTACCAAAGGAATTGCAAAGGAATGGCTGAGAACAGAGTTAAACTTCAGGAAACTACTGATAATCCATTTGCTGTTAAATCTTTTTGTAACTGATTCTAATTTTTCATTTAAATGTTGAATCCTCTATGTTGCCCAAATAAACCAGACTTATTCTGCTATGCTGAAACCTTGATCCATGAAAAAGACTATCTCTGTGTGAGCTGACAAACACCAGATGGCACTCCTCAGAAGAATTATACTTTTGAAAGTTATGTTTCATAGGAGAACTCAAAAAGAGATAGAAACTTTTGAATAATTTATTGCATATTTGGAACAGTTGACCCAAGCATGAAGCACAGAGTATCTGTGGAGTCCCAGTTTGAGACCAGAACCCAAACCAGAGGGAAGACCTGTTCAAATATCATGAAATAAATTCAGAAGATATAGGTCAGTCCACAGATCATAACCATGCAGAACACAGATTTTGAGAGGAAAATGAGGCAACACCACAGTATATTCACTGAAAAACGAGTTCCACAGAAAACGTAGAAGCTGTGTAAAAGTCAAGACTTGGAGAAGTCTGTAAAATGGAATGTAAGTAGGTTTGCATGCATCAGTATGAAGGACTAGACATGGTCTGGAAGTAAACATAATCCTAACTGGTTTCCTGGCTGTGGATTAAGCTGCCTGGAATACATACAGGAAGGAATAACATTTCACAAAAGCCTACAGATGAAACATTATAAACCTGAAAAATAAATGAAATACATATGCACGCTGCACCATAAAGTAGGATTAGGCAGCGCTCTGCACTAAAAAGACTGCCACATTGCCATCACAATAAAGAAGAATAAAAAAAAAGTGGGGGGGGGGGGGGGGATGGTTTGGAAGATAATTATAATGAAAGCCTGGTTACTTTGCTGTCCATTATGAACAAGCTAATGTGCCGTTTGAACTTACAGGTGACACCTTGAAAAGAAATCAGAGTAATCTTGAATACAGATATATAAAGTATACTCAAATGATAGGGAGATGATTTCAACAGTGGATATATGAGCTAAACTAAAAGCAAAACAAAATGCTTTTTTTCGTAAGCAGTGAATTTCATCACAGCGTGGGATACAGTTGAATAAGGGGCATCAGAAGTATCCCTGTTGCCCTGAGAAAAGCTGTCTCTGGGAGAGAGCCATGAGTGCAATTGCTCACTTGTTTTCCACTCAGGCAAGGATCCCAAACTGGAAGTCACAGATTTTGGCAGAAGCCAAAAGCACTTGCAGGAAGTGGCCACAATAAAGTCACTCAGCACTTAAAGTAGGGTCTCTACTTGCTCCTCTGTTCTCACCCATTGATGTGTGCAGCAGAGGGATGTTTCATACATCTCCAGCTTGATTCCCTCCACTATCTCATATTCCAGCCAGGGAAGACAGAACAAGATTCAATTTTATAGAGTGCCAGCCCACTTTGGTAGGAGGAAAAAGAGACTCCTCGTGGTTTCAGACATATTTGTCTCCCTCTCCTATAACCTCTAACTAGGCCTGTGTGGTCTGAGTTCCACTTCACAGCATGAGGTTTTGCTCCCAGCGCCTCTCACATGGCCACTGCTCAACTGGTGCCTCTAGCAACATGGCATGAAGAGTGAATTCCTCTTACCTACATGTCAGGCAGGCAGTATACACAGATGTGAACACATCTGCCAGTGCAGGCATATGCACCCATGTACATATACAGGTCTACTCACACCTCAGTGCATTTGAGGACTATTAAGCAACTATGTTTAAATTCTAACTAGGAATCAAATACTGGCAATGCTTAACCCCCTTCTCTTCTGCCCTTCCCCCCCCACCCCACCCCAATTTCTATTTTTGCTCAGCTTTCAAAAAAGTCTTGGTATTCTGCATCTCTCACCTACATACACAGCCAGCATATACTGGCTATCCAGCCCATTTCTTATTGCCAACTTACAATTGCTGTTACACCTTATAACTAAATGTTAGTTATCAAAGAGAAAAGTAAGGATTTAGTGAGCAGTGATGCTGTTAAATGCTGAAGTATTTTTCCACAAAGAATCCCACAGCTTTGCCTATAGATGGAATTGGAAGGTATGGGCAGACAGGCCAATACTTGCACTTAAATAAACGGTCAAGTCCTAAAAAGACAAACTATGATGGTGGAATTGATCTGTCTATTTATAGACACTACAGATGTTTAATCAGAGTAACCAATCCCTAACATAGGGAACAAGTACCTAAAGAGGGCAACACATTGCCCTTAAATTGAGCACTTCTCCACCCAGTAAATAAATTCCATATGACATAGCCTTATGCTTCCTGGAGGCAATTCAGGAACAGACTGGGAACAATTATTGGCTGAATGTATTCATCGAGATGCAGCATCCAGATGTCTCAGGGAGCACGCAGGCATTTATCTACACACATGCAGAATCTAACACACACTGTAATTCTACTGTGATGGGAACAGGGAGGTCCAAGAATTGTTACTGTTTTCAGCAATGACTTGGGTAATGAAGTGGACGGCATGCTTATTCCAGCAATATGACACTGGAGTGGTTCCAGCATACTGCAGAACAAGATTAAGATTAAATTCAATAAGAACAAGTGCAAGGTATTCAGTCTAGGCAGAAATGAGCAGCTGCCCTGATGTATGATGGAGGACAACTGGCTAGGTAACAGCTCTGCAGAGCATAGGATCAACATGCCCTATCAGCAATGTCAGCAACATTGTACCCCTGCAAAATGGCAAACACCTTGGAAGATGCATAACTAGGAACAGGTCCTTGAACAGATCTTGTCCTATTGACCTTGGGCACGGCCAAATAGGAGCCTCAGGTTTAGCCTTGGGCACTTTGTTTCAAGTAAGATAGAAAGAGGTCAGAGGACAGCAGTGAGAATCTTCAGGAAAGCTAAAGTATGAGGATAGACTGGATGGACAGGGATATCTGGGCTAGAAAGGACACACCTGAAATTGAGGGAAGGAATAGTCCATTCCCCATAGAATCACAGAATCAGAGAATAGTTGGGTTTGGAAGGGACCTTTTGAGATCAGCTGCTCCACCCGCCCTTGCTCAAGCAAGATCACCTAGAGCAAGTTGCTCAGGACCCTACCTAGACAACTTTTGAATATCTCCAAGGATGGAGACTCCACAACCTCTCTGGTTCCAGTGTTCAATCACCCTCACAGTAAAAAAGTAATTTCTGTGTTCACATGGAATTTCCTGTGCTTTCAGTGTGTGCCTGTTGCCTCTTGCCCTGTCACTGGGCACCACTGAAAAGAGTCTGGCTCTGTCCTCTTTGCACCCTCCCATCAGATATTTATAAACACTGATAATATACCCCCCTGAGTCTTCTCTTCTCCAGACTAAACAGTTCCAGCT